GGGGTGTGGGCTTGGAAATTATCCCCAGATATGATGCACTGAGCACCACCTTCATGGTGAACGAAGGGTGCAAGAGCTCAACACAACACTGCAGGCACACAGCAAAACAAGTGCCAGGGCCATGTCCCCTCTGCAGAGCCACTGTCCCCCCCTTGCCTCAATGGGCAGCTGCCCATTCCCCAAGCATCTCATTTCTGAGGACTGCATGGCTATGGTACAGTTTTCAGCTCAGTGAATTTAATTCCCTGTGGGCCTCACCTGGGATGGTTGGAGGAAGGCAGGGAGTGGAGAGAAAGAGGCTTTTCCCTACAGGCCTCGGCCCCACCATGGATGGAGCAGGCCTGTCAGGGAGGTGAAGGGTAGGTTATAGTCTGGAGAGACATTAAGAGGCAGACAGGGCAAGAGAAATGGTCTTCAAGTCATATTCAGTATGTAAACCCTCTAGAGGAATGGGGCACCTCTGCCCTCAGCCTCCAAACTTGCCAGGACCACAGCCCTCCGCCATGCAGCTCTTGTGGAGGATGAAGGGGACAGTTCTCCCCTGCCGACAGCCCATATTAACCTCCAGACCCAAACAGCCACCCAAAATAAACCAGGTGCTTTCTTGACACCAGTGTGCTTTGCTCCTGGGCCACCCTGCCAGCAGCACACCCTGCCCACATCCACACCCAGAGCTGCTCTCCCGTCCATCGCACGCTGCAAACCAGCAGGGCCTTCCCCATTACCTGGGCAGCTGCTGAGCCTCAGCACCTCCTCGACTTCGGGGCAAAACTGAACCCCGGGCTTGCTCTGTGCCGGCAGCAGCACTCACCCTCAGCTCCTCCTCTCCCTGCTGCTTCCTTCCTCTCACCTGAGCGAGGGGAGGGCCCGTCTCCGAGCAGCCCCGGGCTGCAGACCCTGCCTCCCGCCGGGCCTCTGAGGGCCGCGGCCGGCCGGGCTGGCTCTGCGCTGGCACCGGCACCTGGGGCCCGGCCAACAGCCCCTTTGCTCCAGCAACCCCGGGCACAGCTGCCGTGTGCCCATGGAGACCCTTCCTTCTCCGACCCACACGGTGAAGCCTTAATGAGACATCAAGGGTGGCCAAACCCCAGGGGCTGCTCTGCCCTGCATTGTCTCCACGGGGATGGGAAAAGAGGGCATGGTGAAAGGAGAGCACATAAAGCAGACGCTTTAGGAAAATTGATGCTCTCCAGATCTCAGGGAGCCTGGGAGCAGTGGGGAAGTGATGTGGGAATAGCTGGGTGGACTCAGGTGGGAAACTGAGGCCCCCAAAAAGTGCAATGACTCCCACCATACTATAACTCCAGGGCAGGCATGTGGCCGGTGTGGGCTTTGTCCTGTGTTTTCCTGACTTCTGTGCTGGTGATTCCCCAGCAGCCTCTCTGCTGGGTTTTGGAGTGATGGGGATTGAGTGGTGGCACTTTAGGGGTGGAGGCTCTCCAACACTTCACTCATAGAGCTGACATTGTGCTGTGAGGGTAGAGAAGCACCAAATATCAAGGGTGGCTGCTTAGGACATCTTTAGACCCTGAGAAGAAGGATCCAAAGCTTGTTGGTCCCAGATGATGGGTTGATCTGCAGAAATGCCACAGCTCATTCCCAGGCAAGCCCTCTTAGCACCCAGTGCCGCACTTTCCTCAGTTATGCTGATGGCAGCTGGAGGCACAGACATCCCCCCTGTGCCCGTCCAGTGCCAAGCATGGCCTGGGCACAAGATCCCAGTGCCAACACGGGAACTTTCCTGAAGGTATGGCAAATCTGCTGAGGAATGAAGCTTATTTTCCAGCAGCTTAGTCTTCTGAGAGCTCTGCCCCTCAGTGAATTTGGACTGAAAGCAGCTATTGTGGATGGCCCAGCATGGCTGCAGTCCCTGAGGAGGGTGGGCTGGCACTGCAGGGCAGGCAGCTGCCACCAAGCCCCACAGCCCATGGCCAGGTCACTGGGCACTTCTGCCCAGCAGGGGAGGAATCTGCTGGAACCTCCATCAAGACACCTTGGGTGTGACATTTCAGGTGTTGTGCTTAGATTGATGCCACTGGAGCGGGTCTCACCCAGGGCAGGGGGTTACATCCTGCAAGCCCTGAGGGTGTAACACAAACCCCAGGGCTGGAACACAAAAGCAAGGACAGATTTCAATGAGATTTCAATGCAGATTTCAATGCAGATGCCTAGTAACTGGGGGGACTGCAAATGCCTGGTAGCTGGTAAAAAATGCTGCAGAGGACATTCAACAAAGGACATCTGAGTGCAGGAACACCATTTCTTCCTCAGCCAGCTGAGTGTATCTGCAGATGAACATGGAGAAGGAACAAAATGCCAGCAGGAGCAAGCGGGCAGCTCAGCCTTGCTGTGCCTCCAAGCCCCCCCATCCCTCTGGACACAGGGATGAGCTCCTGGCACTTGGGCACCCTGCAGAAGTACAGACCCCATCAGTTAACTCCAAGGCTCCTTGCCCAGCTGGTTTTCCCCACCCATCTGTACTCCTGGCTCCTGACACACCAACCTCTGCCGGTGCCCCCATGCCCCTGCAGCAGATCCCCAGCTGTGCCATGGCTGTTCTGAGTGATGGCTCAGGGGGCTTCCTGAGATGCTGGCAAAATCCAGGCAGCAGCCAGGCAGGCTGAGGCACAGATGTAAGGATGCCTTTTCCTGAATGCTGTGCACTGAGCAGGATGCTGCAGGGTCTGGTGAGGGATGGCCAGAGCCGTGGGGCTGGGTGACAGCAGTCAATCAACCCATCAGGCCCAAGGTCCTTGTGCCAGGCAGCTCCCAGGAGCAGCTGCCTGCTGCTGGCAGGGTTTTCATCCCTGACTGACATTCCTCCACTGTGACCCTCCAGGGAATCCCTGCCAGACACTGGGATGTGAAAGGGCTTTCTCATTATCATGGCCCCTTCTCCCAGCAGGGAGAATCAGCATTTCAAGAGGAGGGGGAGCTTCAGGAAGGTTGGCAGAGCTTCCTGACCCTCAGCTGACTGGGCTGGGGCTCCCATTTCCTTTCCTGGATCAACAAAGAGCTCCAGAGGCTTGTGAAAGGAGTGATTCAGCAAAACAGGATGAGAGGAGAGGCAGAAACACTAAGTCAGCACAGCTGGATGGGGTCAAATTCCCATCCTGTGAAAGCCATGGGGAGAAAGGCTCAGGTGTCCTACTCCCTCAGGCATAGGGACAACTCCTGACAGTCCAGCTGTTCTGTATACCAGCCCTGGAGTGAGGAACACAACAGGAAAACAGCATTGTTGGTTTTGTTTTTTATTCCCATTCTCAAAAAGATCAAGTCAGACTGGCCTGGCATGCGATGGAGTGGGTGGGAAAGCCATTTTGCCTTAAGAGGAGGAAATGCCATCCTCAGTCCCCAGTCACAAGCATTGAAAAAGCTGAATTACAGCAGCAGGACTGGTTGAAACCATCCATTCTGGTTTAAAAACATGCTCTGCTGATTTGGCTCCTAGTTTCTGACCTGTTAGAAGTTCACATTTCTTCTGTAAACACAAAGGGTTTAAGCTTACTTAATAAAAAAACCCCAGAAAGCTGCAATTCCCACGCAGTTGTGTGGCTCCAACAGCCAGGGCTTGCAGAGAAATCCAGCAATACCCTCAAACTGGGAGAGCTGAGAGCCCTGAGCAAAACACGGTCCTGAAAAATGAAGTCTCTGAAGTGAGAGCCCTCAGCTTTTGTGTCCCAACTCCTGACAATCCAGCCAGGACACACAGTCTAAAGCCAATAGCTTTAGATAAGTGATATATTTACATCAATGTAACTGTGAGCAGAGTCTGACCATCAGCTCTGAATCCAGGAAAATTGAGATAATGTGCACATTTAAGCAACTGGAAAATCTTTTATCTTTTGTCCAAAGCTGGTGTCTGATTTCAAGACAAGATCTTTCCAAGACACGCTTTATTTAAAGGAAATAGTTGGTGCTCGGTTCGATTCCTGACCTACTCACAGCAGGCTGGGAGTGACGCTGCCAAAGCCTTGGGGTGCAGCAGTTTGGGCACCCCAAGCACCTCTCCAGGCCGGGGAGTGCCGGGGGGTGCAGACAGCAGCTCTGGGGTCGGGCTCACCCCATGGCCGGACCCCTGAGCCCCCCACAGCAGCCTCTGTACCTCACGGGGTGGGACAGCCCCAGCTGCCCGGGGGACTGGGAAAGGGAAGGGGCTGGGGGCTTCCAGCCACACAACCATCCCCGCCGGGTCCGCCGCCTCGGACACCGTGCAGGGCTGCCCGCCCCGAGCCACCCGCGGCTCTTGACGGGGCTGATGGAGACCGCGGACCGACCGGACTCGTCGCCCTCCTCCGGTTCCACCGGAGCCCAGCGCCGCCGGGCCGGTTCAGCTCCGTGCGGGGAGCGGCAGAGCGGCGGGGACAGCGGGGTCCGGTGTGCACCGTGCCGTGCCCGGCCCCGGCCGTGCCCGCACGCTCCCCATCACCGTCCGCTCCCCGTGTTCGGGGCTGCTCCCCGCTCCGCGCACCCCACGGGCGCTCGGTGGGCTGCTGCGAGCACTCGGGGGCAAAGCCGCGGTGCAGGCGCTCGCCGCACGCCCCGGTGCCGGTCCAGATCCCAGTCTCGGTGCCCTGTTCCGATCCCAGTCCCGGTGACCGATCCCGGTCCAGATCCCAGTCCTGGTGCCCTGTCCCGATCCCAGTCCTGATGCCCTGTCCCGGTCCAGATCCTAGTCTTGGTGCTCTGTCCCGATCCCAGACCCGGTGACCGATCCCGATCCCAGTCTCGGTGCCCTGTCCCGATCCCAGACCCGGTGACCAATCCCGGTCCACATCCCGGTGCCGGTCCCGGGACTGCCCCGACCCAGCCGGGTGTCCCCGCGCGCAGGCGCGCTCCGGCGGGCTGCGGTGACGTCAGCGCCCCCCGCCCGGCGATGGAGCCCGGCTGATGCCGGTGTGTGTCGCGCCCGCCCGCCCCGCGCTCCCCCCGCCGATGCCTGCGCTCGGCGGCGCCCGCCCGCCCCGCTGCGCCGCCCGCCCCGCGCTCGGGGCCGGGGCCTCCGCCGGACCGCACCGGACCGGACCGCCCCGCACCGAGCTCCGCCGAGCCGCCACGGACCTGCCGCGGGTGAGTGCCCAGCGCCCGGCGCGGCGGGGAGGGTCCCACGCCCCGCGCTTCGCTGCCGCCCGCACCCGCTGCCCCCGGTAGCGCAGAGCCCCGGCAGGTGCGGCGCAGCGGGGCAGAGGCGGTCGCACGCCCCCGTCCCCGTGCGGGGCGCCCGCCCGAGGGTCGGAACACGCGTGGACCCCCCCGCCCCGGTGCGCCCAGCCCAGCCCTGCCCTGCCCTGCCCTGCCGCTGGCCGGGGAGCGCCGGGGCCGCGCTGCCGGGGGCTCGCCAGCAATTAAAACTGAAATAAACCCAGTTAAAAATCGAGTCCCGCCGCTCTGGGAGCTTTGCGTGAGCACCCGCTGCGTGGGGCGGCCCGGGACCCGTTCGGCTGCGTGGGGCGGCTCGGGATCCCTCTCCCCCGGCGTGGTCTGCGTTGTTTTTCTTTTAGTCTGGGCTTTTAGAGGAAGAAAAGTGCTTTTTTTCTAGCCCTCACTGGCTGCTCGCTCTATGGGCAGCGGGGCAGCAGACCCCACTCGTGTCGCAGCTGGGGCTTGGAGGGTTGGGCACCGTGGGGATTTTTGGAGCTCTTGGTGCTGCGGCAGTGCCGGGTTTAAAGTGCCGGTGCTTGGGACAAGCCGGGATGCGAGCAGCCGGCATCTCCCGGTTCTCACAGGTAGGAAAGCTGAGCGGCCGCTAAGTGAGGAGCCCGAGGCCGCACAGGAAATCTGCGGCGGAGCCGGGACTAAACCCCAGATTTCCCGTTCGGTGCTTTTCTTGCCTGGCTGGGGACAGTGGTTTAACCTCACCCTCTCGGGCTGCCGGGGTAAAGTCCTGCCCAGCTCCTAGCCAGGGCTCCTGCGGAGGCAGCCGGGCGTGTGGCCAGCTGCCAGCAGAACGAGGCCTCTGTGCTGCGAGAGCTGGGCTTGGAGAGCAGAGATGTTCCCTTTGGATGGGAGCTGGGTCCAAGGTGGAGACTGGGTTTGTGCCGCTCGGCTTGGCACACTGGCCTGTGTGAGAGGTGGCCCCATCCTGCTGCTCAGGGCACGCTTTGTCTGCACCCCCAAATCTCAGACAATACGGCTTTTCCAAGGAGCTCTCTGCTACTCTGATTACCTGATGGGAAACTTCTGGGGGACTTGTCTTGTAAGGCCGTGTGACGTACCTTGAAAAGCTCATATACAAGCCTTTCTTGATCTGATTTTTCCCATTTCTGCCCACTAAAGGCATGAACTCTGGCCAGCCATGGGCTTTCTCTCTGCACAGTGCTGTAGGGTGGCTCCAGTTGAACAGGGGGGGTTTCCCTGCTCTTCTCCCTGAACATCTACTCTGGCTTCAGTCCCCAAGCAAGGATCATAGTGTCCTGAGGAGCACTCCTCCATGGATAGGAAGCCAGAAGTTTACTTCATTATCTGGAACAGCTTATTCTAAACTAATCTCTCTTTAAGAGATGAAGAGGAAGGGAAAACCACCCAGATGCTCAGATGCATTTTATTTACCGTAAAAGAAAACAGCAATTTAATGATAACTTGTATTAACTAGGTTGGGTCTGTGACCTTGATGTATTTTACAACGTAGCTGAGAAGAAGGAGCAGACTGTTCCAGTCTGTTTATTGTTTCCTCTTAGTGCGTCCCAGTAACTCGCAGCACACGGATGCCCACACAGTTCTGCAGTCCTGACCCACCTTTGGGGGTGGGAAAGAGGAGGCTGTTGGATCTGATTTGCTTCAGATACAGCCTAATCTGTAACTGGTGTTAATTATATTATAGATGGGTTGGGGTTTAGCATAGGTTTTTCTGACAGGGCTCAGCCTCCGCAATTCTTGCTACTGTAGAAAAGCTGTAGTAACTTGAAGCCCTGAAGTCACTCGTGGGAGCACCTCCCTATCAATAAATTCCTTATTGTAAAGCCAAGGGAAACCAGCCCCATGGGGACTGCTGGCTTTCACTGGGGAGGCACAGGGATGGATGCAGGCGGTGCTGACAGCCCGGAGCAGGTGAGCCAGGCTGGTACTGAGAGCCATCTGCGTTGTCAGTGTGGGGAGATTTCAACAGCAGTGTGGCTCCAGTTCTCCTTTATATAAATGTGTCTCCTTGCTCTGCAGGGTTTTCCTTCTATTTAGACCTCCCTCCTGCTCCTCCTCTCCAAAAAGGCTTTCCCCTGGTGTATGCGAGCTTTTCCCTCTGCTTTGGTTACTATGGTGCTACTATGTAAAAACAGCTCGTCTTGTAGCTCCTGGAATTATCTGCACCTTGGGTTTGCAGTCCAGCTCTGGGACACGGGCCTGTGTCCATCCCTTGTCCAGCCTTTCCCTGTCTGTGTGGTGGGACAGGTCTGGAGGCAGCAATGTCTGCAGGGCACGGCTGTGCCTTGGTCCCACGGCACCTCCTCCAGGTTTCTGGGCACCTGGATCCCACTGCTTTGTGCCAGGCTGTCACACAGGTGCATCTCTTGCTATTTCTGAATGGGGGACAGGATCTGGGCTGTGATGAGCCCTGCAAGACCTGCTCACATTCGTCCCCTCCAGGGATGGGGCTGACGGCAGAGAAGGCATCAGCTCCCCCTGAAAACTGTTAGGAATGGAGACAAAAAACTGGGAGTCTGTAGAAACCTGTGCAAACAAAAGGCAGAAGATGGGAGCAGACATCTCCCCCTATGCTGCTCAGCCCCCCAGCTTGTGCAAGTTAACCCCCCTAGGGCTGGCTTGTTGCTGCCCACTTTGCTGCAATGGGTCCCTTGCTTCCCTTGCCTGATATTATTATTCCTTTCTGGTTTTCCACCTGATTTGCATGTAAAAAAGCATGAGGGAGGTTCACCCATGGAGAGGTCCTTGGTTTGCTCACAGCTAATGTAAATTATCATTGCCCTCCTTCTTGCAGGGGGCTGGGGTCACCCTGGAATAGAGGGATTTTGTTGGGATTGCAGGAGCCCAGAGCCAGGTCCAGGTTCCCCCACCCTGCTCATCCTAAGGGTGATTTGCCCCATGCAGACACAGAATCATGCTGGGTTGTCTTAACTACAGAAGAGATTCAGGAGGATTATGTCAGTAACTAAAACACCTCCAGGTGGAATGAGTCTAGTCCTGCTATGGAGGCTGTTTTGGAGAAGATCCTGCTTGCTGGTGCCTGATGGTCTTTGTGCTGAAGGTCAGCAGCCTATCTCCCTCAGGCAGCTGTGATGGCTCTTCTGCTTTGTTAAGTAGGAGTAGGGTGATGCTTCTAATTATAAAGGAAGAAGTCTTGTACTTTTCCCCTCCTTTGTTTGTTTGCTTTTTCTCTTTCTTTTTTTTTTTTCTCTCTTGACAAATGTTCTAAATAACAATGCTTAAAATGCAAATGGAACGAGCTTGCTGAAGTGCCTGGGAAGGCCTGGTTGGGGTGGACTGTGGTGGAGCTCAGGAGCTGGTGATGACACATGGCACAAGAGCAGAGCCCAGGCAGGGGCTGGGTTGTCACCAGAGCAGTCACAGCCATGGCAGCCGTGGCTCATCTCCACGTGGAGGATGCTCTCATGTGCTTCAAAGGCTTTGTGGTTTCTCTTTCCTCTCCCCATTCAGAGGGGCACTGTGAAGGTGCCCTCTCCTTCTTCTACAGGCACAATAAGGGGACATTTAAGTGGACTCCCTTTGTGCTCTTCACTCTTTATTCCTGCTTTTTTTTTTTTTTAATTAGAAATAGAAAAATTGGATGATGAGCCTTCTAAACTGTGTGTCCAGTTGCAGTCATGGCATCTGTGAGGTCCCTCCTACTGCAGGCGAGTGCTGCCCTTGCTCTTCCAGCCAGGTCCCTCATGTGTTTTAGCGTTTGCTTGGGGGAAAAATGAAATAAAATAACATGGTGTTGAGGTTGTAAAAGTTTCCATTATAGCTCCACCCACACTCCTGCCCAGTAATGCTCAGAAAAATTCAGTCTGGGTGATGGGGCTTTCTTGCCTGCTTTGCTGCTGGGCTGCTTGGGGAGAAGGGGAACAGCTTTTGAGGTTTTTAAAAAAACTTTTAAAATTATTATTATTTTAATACAGAGATGCTTGAGAGCCATGTCTGGAATAGGGTGGGGAATGAGCTCTGGCACCTGGCTCCTCAACGAAGAGCCAGGGAGGCACAAGTTAAAAGTGTGAGCACTCAAAAATTCACTGAGCAACAGGCAGGTGGATCAGTAGAAAGGGGCTTCCAGGGTGGCTCTTTACTATTTGTGTTGGTCTTGTTTAACTCTTCTTTTCCTGAAGAAGTGCCTTGATGTTGTTTTCAGGCTGATTTTGTCCCACTGGTGTAAAGTCATCAGTTTGCTCCTCTGGGAAGGGTAAGAAGGGAGTCAGTTGCTCCTGGAGCATGGCTTGGTGTGCAGGATGCTTGCAAATGCTCTGCTCTCATGCCTCAGTAAATAAAGAGGTTTTTATGGGACTTATAAAAAACTTCTCTTTTGGAAATAGGTCAAGCAAATATTTATTTCCCTAAGGTGTCATGCCAGGGTTGCACAAATACTTGAATGGGTAGTCATTTTATTTTTCACTGCTTTGTTTCTTCCTAAGCACATTCAGTTCTTTTTTTCCCAGTGGTGTAGGGACACACATTAATAATTGTATGTAATCAGTGCTGTCCCTCTCTCCATCTGGAAGTCTGTGCATCTTCTGTGGGCTTGGGCTGTAAATTGGAAGCTGTGACACTTTTTTCTTTACATCCAGATGCTTCTCTGCTGTGAGAATATTTTTGTTTTCCAAAAGTTTCAGGTCAGTGGCAGGCCAGCTGCTGCAATGAATTTAAAAACAAAACTCCCAGAATACAGCAAAGCTCAACAAAATGGCCATTCTGGTGTCTTGGTTTCCTGTCCTAAAGCCTCAGCCATGGTATTGCTGGTGTCCTTTTGGAAAGTAAGTCCAATGCTTGGGTCATCCCACAGATGGAGAGTGCAGTTACTGCCAAAAGCTTGTGCCCTGCTGTCTGGTGGAGCTCCTATCTTCCCCCAATAATCAGGGATCAGTTGGTGTCTGTCTTTAAAGAGGGATTGAAACTTTTGCCTGCTC